ATTCTTTCAGTCACTTGAAGGGGCAGGCCATGGAGCGACAGATGTCTTGGCACCTTACTGATGATGCTGAGCGGGTTCAGTGTGGATATGCCACTCACCACAAGACTCCTGGCTCTAACGGGTATCATGACGTTCGTGGTCTTCGACCCGGGATTATGGGCCTTAACACTGCACCCCCAGGCGAGGTATCAGCAGCTGCTCCTACCGTGAGTAATCGTCTGGCTCTTCTGGGGAGACGGTTACCTCCACCAGAATACAGATGCTATGGCTGGGCTTCCTCACTAGCCAAAGGGTGGTGGGCTCGCATGACTGATTTCGTCTTGGCGCGCTGGGAGAGGGATCTGAAGAGCAGTGGGTTGTACCTATGCGAGCCACCATGTACGGAATCCCAGTCAGCTGTCGCCATTTCTTGGCTTTGCTGGAGACCTACATGCCTGACAGCAACACCTTTCTGACCAGCGGTGGTGAGTTAGGGTTGGCCTTGCATGAGATGCATCATGTTTCGGGTCTTCCGATGGGGGATTGTCCGTATCAGGAGTATTTTCCCTCGAACCAGCAGTTGGAGTGTATGAAGAAAGATTCTCCCAACATGTATGACACTCTCTGGGATCTTACTTGTCACTATTATACCTCCTTGATCCAGACTTCTGCTCTAGCGAAAAGGAAGAGGCAGGTCAGCTTGAAGCAGTTTGCTTGCTATTTGTTCCAGAACTTGGAGAGTAATTCCGGCGGGCCCATTCATGAATTAGACGTGTTGACCCCTTCCGCAATTAATGAGTTGCTGGAGAAGGCTGAGGCTCGTTCTTACACCATCGCCAGTGCTGAGGGAGCTTTTCCTGCGGGAACCAAGTTTCGTTCTTTTCTCTGCCATGCACAGAAGTCCATTGGGCCCCGGACTCTCCTAGCAGGCTACCTTGCTCTTTGGTTGAAGAAATGCGACACCATCGCCAGTGCTGAGGGAGCTTTTCCTGCGGGAACCAAGTTTCGTTCTTTTCTCTGTCATGCACAGAAGTCCATTGGGCCCCGGACTCTCCTAGCAGGCTACCTTGCTCTTTGATTGAAGAAATGTGTTGTCCCGCACCAGCTTTCAGACGCTCTACCCATCGAGGTGCTCTTCCCTGCAGTTCAGCTAGCTTACGGGAGAGAGCTTTCCCTGCTCCCAGCGATGGTTGCTGGCATCCATTGCGGGCTCAGGTGTCTAGTCAGCAGTTTTACACAGATGGGTTCTGAACAGTTTGTATTCATTACAAGCAGTTTGTAGTTAAATTTTGCATCTTTAAAAGTTGACACATATACCGTAAAGCTTAACATCCGTGCCAAACAGTTAACATATATTAATCATATATAACATTTAACCTGAAACAATTCGCTATACTACTCATTTCTCCATGTTTTACTCACACAATTCTTAACTTCTCAAAAATTTAAAGATAACTTACATTTTAGGAGGTTCCTTTGGGGTGTTCTGACATTTGGAAACATCTACATCTATAGTAGCTCGGATATGGATCTCCAGACAACCGATAATACAGTTGTGCTCCACCCTACACTTCATATCATCCTCATTCTCAATCTCAAAACTGAGATCAGGGATCCTTTCAGATTTATACACCATTGAAAACGCGTCATATGGAACCTTCAACATCTCAGCCACGTCAAACTTAAACTCAAAAAAAGAGGTTGCACACGTTACCCTTGAGAATACTGTTTTCTCACCTAAGGACACCATTCAAATCAAGGGTTTGTCTGCCATATATAAAGGGGATTTAAGAGGACTAATGAAGGGAACGTTAGGACAAGCGGGGGGTTGAAGATCATAAGTCCTAAGCTCATAAATGTGCCCTTTCTACCATAAATGAACTCTATTCGAGAAGAGTGGGTTAAGAGGAGATATAATAGAGGGAAACCATCAAAC